ATAGGTGGGTTCGATCTCGGGGAAAGACTCGTTGTATGAATTGGATATGTTATGTCACAATTGATTATGTATTAATTATCTAAAACTTCCAAAGTTCTCTTCCTCATCTCAATTCAATCCCTTCACAATCTCTACAATCGTTCACTGCCCTGCAGCTACTCAATATCACTGACATTTCTGACATCTACAGGATGCTTAATCTCTTTCCACAGTACTTCAATTCTCAATTCCTTTACTTTTACTCAATCTTCCAGTGCTACTATCACAATGCAATAATCTCTATTATCACAATCACACTTTCTTTCTCCAAATTAGTTAATTCGAATTCATAATTTTCAATATCTCAATCACAGTTTCAGCAATCCTTTTCTTAAATCCAATACTAAAGAAAAACACAAAAGCAAAGAAAACAAAAGGGTAGCTCCAAGCTTTACCCTGGCTCACGACTATCACAGTCTGGCCCCCATTCCTTCTTCCTCAACCTCTTTATCCTACCAAAATATGAATCGTCATTCAGCAGATTTCACAGGTTGTGAAACTTTGGCTTCTTAATCGCATATGTTCCTAACTTCCTACTATTAACAACTAATCGAACTAACCATTCATCTAAATCCCAACATTACTACTATTTAACCGATAACGAACCAGAAAAGTCATTTATACATTCTACAATCACAAAATACAATCAAAAGGAAAGACACTCCATCTTCTAAAATTAATTTACATTCATACAAAATACAGTGATGGAACATATTAAAAAATAATACACTTTAAAAAAATTCCAAATTTATTTTTAAAAAACTAAAGAATATAGTAGAATAATTTTGATCTTTTAAAATATTAGAAATAATTTTGGATTTTTAGATGAAATTTAATTGAATCAATAAATAAAATTAAAAAACTAAATTAAATTAAAATAAATTAGCAATTTGAGTATAAGAATAAATAAATACATCTAAATTTTATTAGACCTTATTAGACCATAGAGAGATTGGAATGCAATAGGATTTGAAGTAGTCTTGACATGAAAAGATGTAAGACAGGAATATGTGATTACATTTGCTTCTAGAAGCAATTACAATGTAGAGTCCAAGTACTCATCTTATGAAAGAAAAGCTTTGGTAGTAGTTTGAGCTATTATTCACTTTTGACCTTATTTGTAGGGGCAACAATTTACATTGGAAATTGACCATCAACTCTTGAAGTCGCTTATGGAATTAAATAAGCTTGTTAGATAGACTTTGTTAGTTCAAGAATATGACTTCGAGATTGTGCATCAAGCATAGATTACCAATTTGGATGCAAAAGGACTTTCCTATAATCAAAGTCCTTTAAAAGAAGACTTGACTAAAGCTTGATCGCATAGATATTGTACTAGAGAGGCAATTCTTAAATGATATGCAACCACATACATCACTTTGATGTGAGGCTCTATAACTATGGTACTTAATTCAAGCTAAAATAAAAAAAAAATTGATAGTACCAAAAGGATTAGCAATGTATGAGAGGATCTTATGATCTTGCACAAGCTTTAATAAGGAACATTTCCTTCATTTATCTCTTCTATAGGTAAAAATATGATTAGTCACCAAATAACAAGGGATTGTTGAAAGAATAATTTCTTGTTTTGTATTTGGCTTGATGGAATTAGACACATAGTTCAAAGGCCAAATAAAAAAGCTTCTTTAGTGTAGTAAGAACATGAAGAATTTAGATATTTCGAAGTGTGTAAGATACATTTTATGTTGTGCAACCAATATTGGTTGATTGACATATATCAACAAGTCGACACATGTATTTTTTTAATATGAAGTGTGTGACCCAATTAGGTCAAGGTTAATACTTTATCACCTCAATTTTATAAAGAATGGTTTATCAAAAGTACAGATTATTTTATAAAAACTACTAAAATTAGAATTTGATATTGCTATAAATTGAAATAGATTATTCCTTTAATAATTAGGCATCTTTTATATCTTATAATTCTTATCAATTGTTGTATGGATGGGAGGCAATTCTATCAAGCTTAGTACATGAGAAGCTAGCTCTAATTATGGATTTAGATGACCTTGATATTTGGGCTCAATGTCTATATGATCAAGTAGAGTTTTTTAAAGAAAGCTATGTCTATGGCTATGAAGAACTTATCTATTATTCAATATCATAATACTTTATAATATGCTTACATTTACAATGGAACTTATGAGCTTGAATTGTATAGACTCTCTAAAAAAATTACATATATTTATAATATGAGGTATTAAAAATACTTTATATTAAGGCATAGTGCACAATTCTTTGTATCAAGAATGTGTTGCCTAATGATATTTTGTTGCTTGAAGACAAAGATGGACAAGAATGTCAAGAACATTCAAAAAATTGTACTCTTTGTCATCATTCTATTGATGATTTTGTATATCCTAAATTAGCAATTATACTAAATAGTCTTTTTTTTTAATATGTGTTTAGAAGAAAGAGGCTACTACCTTGCTATTGTATGATCAATGCCAATGTAGGTGGCATATGGCATGCTTAACACCACTTCTTTCAACTCTTCTATTAGAAAATCGGATTTTTCCTTGTTGTTAGAAGTCTTTGAACTAGGCTTTTTCTACTGATAAGAATTGAGGATTTCTTCTACTATATTTGCTATATATTTTAGTAGTCTAGCAGCTACAATATTGACTTAGATAAGTACAATTCTATAATAACATCATTATGACATTCATCTCTAACTATATATATTATGGTTGTGTCACGGACATATTGTCAGAGACATATATACTTACTCTAGAAATTATCTATATAATTAGGTAGAAATAGATAAAATTAGATAAAAATAGATTAATTTTATAATATATTCTTAAAAAGCTTCATAGAAGCTTGATAGACATGATTTTGACTTTATACATGTTTATAGTTGATTTTTAGATTAAAAACTTGATCAATAAATTAGCCACATATCATATGTGTGGATAACTTATAAAACAAGCTAATTATGTGGCACACATATAGAAAATTTGCCTTACAAGTTAAGATATGTTTCTTGCAAAGTCAATACATATTGGAAGTCCTATAGAATGTTGCCTTGTAGCTCCTAAGTAGATAGTATATATAGAGGCAAGCGTGAAGTCTACTTCACTCTTATCAACTCCTTTTTTACTCTTATTTAGATTCAAGAGTCTTTAGTTTTCTTGCCTTTTGGCAATAGCCATTCTAATTTCTTTTTAACATACATGTTTTCTTACTTTTATTTTGTCATATTTTTTTTAGAAAAGTCTCACTTGGTTATTTGCTTTCATTGGATTCTTGTCCTTGACAAATTGTAGTTGAGTGGAAGGGTTCTTAATTAGCTAGAAGAAATACTTAGAAGTATATTGGTTGTATATTTGTATTTGATTTAGATTATATATTTTATGATTGATTTATGGCACTCAATGTGTTGTTTGTAACAATCTTTGTTTACATGACATCCTTCACTAACCAAAATATGTTTCTTGCAAATTAGAAATAAAAATAAAATCTACTGAACAATTATCACAAAATATAATTAAAAAGAAAGACATTCCATCTTCTAAAATTAATTTACATTCATACAAAATACAATGATGGAATATATTAAAAAATAATGTATTTTAAAAAAATTCAATTTTAGTTTTAAAAAACTAAAAAATATGATATAATAATTTTGGTTTTTTAAATAATTAGAAATAATTTAGGATTTTTAGATGAAAGTTACTTGAATTAATAAATAAAATTAAAATATCAAATGAAATCAAAATAAAATAGAAATTTGAATATAAAAATAAATAAATAGAAAATATGCACTAAATTATGTTATGTAATTTTATTAAATAGATGAATTTGATTAATCAAATTGGTATACAATATGTTATACTACATTATTTATACTACATATTATACTAATTGGTTCTTCAAAATATAAAAACCATACTATTTATATTTATAGACTATTGCCAACATTTTTTTTAGTAATATATTTTTAAATTTTTATTAAAATAGATTATAAGTGATAAAACATGATATTTAAATTATATAATTTTTAATAATCATGGATTTTAATATTAAATCAACATATTTAGATTTTTATTTTAGTTTATAAGTAATATAATATAAATGTGTGTTAAATAATATTATATTATATAATGTTTGTGTGCAAATATATATATATAACTATATATAGTTATATATAGTTATATATTTTTATTTTTATTTATGTTTTTATTGCCTTTAAAATAAGAATTGTTTAATTGATACTATAATATTATCATAGTTTTAAATTTAGAATTAATCAATTTTTACTTTGTTGTTAGATTATTATAAATATAAAATTATAAGATAATCATTTATATATGTATATGTATCACTTATGTATTACATTCTTTCAAGATTTAAAAAAATAAATAAATAAAATAAAGTAAAAAAACTAGTCACTACATGTCAAATTATCTATGCAATAATAAGTTTGTGATGCACCGTTAAGACCAAAAAGAAAGAAATAATTAGATTTTAGATTTGTTAATTTATAATTTAATAGTAACTAAACATATTGTCTAAATTGATTGTAATCTTCTTTAATATACCAATTTAAATTTCTGAAAGTTAAATTTATACATATATAATTCATTTTTACATTTGAAAATTGTAATAAGCTTATAATCATATATCAAAGCCATTCTTAAGTTTTTCTACAAAAAAAATCAAGCTCATAATAAGAAATAAAAATCAAAAAATTAAATATTTATAATTTTCATTAGTTAAAAGGAAATCCCATTTAATCCAATTTGATTAGCATAGTGTTTTTGCCTTTTAGTCAGGTCCAGGTTGAATGTAAAATGTATCAATCTTAGCATAAATTACTAATATATATATATATATATATGAAGAAAAAGAAATCACATCAGGTGAGCAGAAAAAGCTTACAGAACGTCACAATCTTGTGCTAGATTTGACTGGCACGGAGCTGCTTCCTTGTCTGCAGTATTATTTCGCTCTCTCTCTCTCTCTCACCATCATCGCAAAAGCTCTTACACTTAATTGCTGTTGCTGTTGCTCTTGTTTGTGGACTTGGTTTCTCTGCTAGGAAAGTTGAGAAACAGACACAAGGTTGTGACCTCCATTCAGGGCATGTATCTACTACAGCTGAACCCATTTGCTGAGATCATTAGGCAACGACGACAAATAGACAGACAGGCAGACGGACAGAACCCCAAGGGTGTGATGAATCAGTCTTGAAAAATCTGAGAAGCGAGAGCGAGTGTGAGAGAGAGAGAGCTGCGCAAGTTGGCGTTTTGATGGGGTGTGGAGGTCTTGTAGCAATGACGATGGTGGTTCGCGTTGTGGGTTTGTTGGTGACAATGGTGATAATGCAAAGTGGTGGTGCGACAGGGGGGGTGAGAGAGAGCTTGATCAAGCCTGTGGTGGAGATGAGGTGTGAGTCCATCAATGGAACTCGGAAACGTGAATTTGTGACACGGGCGATGAGCTTCAAGCCGGGGACGGTGCACAACTTGTTTTTCTTCGTGGATGCGCCGGAAGGCAGGTTTGCCACGCGCGATTTCCTGGCGGAGATGGTCTTGGAGGACGCCACGACACCCGTGCCTCTGTATGATACTTATCTTCATCACTGGTTGATGTATGAGTACGCCGTGCCGAAGAACGACAGCGATGCTCACAAGCACGATCTGATGGAGGAGCTTCAGAGCGATCCCCTGGGACAATTGAAGGTGTCGGCGAGGCACAAGGACAGGAAGAGACTGACGGAGTACCCCGGAGCCCCCGATACTTGGTTTCTAATTCAGCAGTTCGGAGTAGGCGCGGAGACAAGGCACACCAACACTAAAATGCCTGCTCCATATGGATTCGAGGGCGGTGATCGGTTCGGCGAGGATTATGAGTCCGTGTGGGTGTTGAATGTGCATGCTATTGACACGCGTGGGGCGATTTCCAGGATGTCCTGCACAGAATGCAGGTGATTAGAGACAGTTCGTTTCTATCTTGAGAGAGCGTGTTTACGATTTTCATGTACGTATGGAGGGTCGTGTTACAAGTTTTCTGCGTACAGTGGTATGCAATTGGACATCAGGGCAAGAGAGACAATGTTTCAGGAACTAAATTACGGACGTTGAGCTTTAGACGGTGGTTGTGTCCGGTATTTTCAGCAGCTAAACCGTAGGCGGCCGGTATTACATTAGTGGGAAAAACTTCAGCTCTTGTTTTCTCTACTATCGCTCTTCGTTTTGTGCAGGTGCGATGTGTTCGATTTCAATAAAACCGGTGCTGTGATCCTCCCAGAAGGATATCACGGAGGTCTTGCCTGCTGCCATGACGAGACTCATTGTCTCGTGAAGAATGAGTTCCAAGGAGAGACCGGGATGAAGCTCGCGAGGAACCTTCGATTCAGAGTTGAGTACCAGTGGGCTCTTGTCTTCTTAATCTTGATCACGAATGATACAAAGATATGCTAATGAAAAATCATTTCGTGGGGTCGTGTCGAGGTTTTGAAGGTTTGGTTATTTTTGTTTACGCAGTATACATGGTCTTGGACACCATGGGACGAATGCGTCCAGCCTCTCACCAACGTGCGCTTGGACGTTACTGAGATTGGGTTCGGGGAGCAACTAGAGTACGAAGTCGGCGCTTGTGAATCTAATGACCCCAATGACGAAGTCTGTATTGACACTAAAGTCTCCTACCAGAGATCACCCGTAAGTGGACCCTTGATCTCTGCAGTCGGTCACTTTCATGCCTCAGGTATTAGTGCATCCATTTGGAGCAAGGACGGCACTCTTCTCTGCGAATCTTTGCCCATTTACGGCCAAGGACATAGCGTTGGAAACGAATCTGGCTACGTAGTTGGAATAACCTCATGCTGGCCACCAGCTGACACAGGGGTGCCATACTACATCACCAAAAACGAGATGCTTAAGTTTGTTGTGAAATACTCCATGGTTGACGGACCCCACACTGGTCTTATGGGGCTCATCAACTTGAAGATTGCCACTGGCAGAACCGGCCTTGTTTGAGAGTCTGTTTGGTCTGTTCCCAACTCGGGCTTGAGAATTTCAATACAAGCATCTTCTTTCACTTTTTGGTATTCCGATGAGAGTAATATTGCCGCTCGTAATTTATGTCATTGAAGTTCGAAGTGCAGAGATTCGCCAAGCTTGTGTCGTCTCGTCTGTTCGGTGGCAGGAGTATTTGGCACTTGCACAAGGGGAAGATTCTGTCTGCTGCTTCAGCACAAGTGTCGGTATTCATGAAATTGCACAGGAGATTAAAGCTTGTAAGGTCCTATTACACGATGCGTACTGGTTTGGTTTCTGTGGATTTTGCAATAAAACCTGGTTGTTTTATTCCCAGTCTCGCTTCTTTATAAACCTCTCTGCGTAACAGTGGCGATCTGATCATCGTGAGAGATATCCGAGCACAGTGGCAGTTAACTGCCGAAATAGTTTCAGTGTTATTTCCTCCAGAATCTAGTCCACTCTGAATCCATGCAAACATAATTTTCCTCAGAAACCATCTGAATGACGAAAAATATACTGCTCATGTTTAACCTTCTCTGGATTAAACATTGAGGTTTGGTACCCAGCTAGTGTAAGAGAAATAATACACAGGAACCTAGAGTCATGTAAGCTAACTGCTTCGTATAATAACCAGCATTAAGGCACTTTAGCATGTGAATTAGTCGACCTGCATTACTGAATTATGTGCAGCACCACACTACGGACGCGCATCATCCAGAGTGCTTCTCTAGCACGTGGAGGGTTTCGCGTCTCCCCCATCGATTCTCTGTGGACGAACCCCAGCTAAACATAACTTTTGCAGTGAAGAACAGTTGTGAAGTGTGAAGTAGGTGCTCTGTTTTGAAGGGCAAAGTAGGAACTGTGCTGTGGTATCTCGTTCTCTTCTGCAGTCTTTGCAAAAAATAATTGAACCTGATTTAGTATCCATATGTGTGCAACTCTGAGCTGTGGATTTTGTGTGGTCAAGTAGCGTTGAGGAGGACGGTGCGTTGGTTTTCTCGATGATATCTTATGCCGCGCTCTACTTGATTACTTCGAGTTTAAGGAGTTCGAAGCTGGGCCATGTCTTTACTTGTGGTATGGCTTAGTGGAAGGTTTTGTGCGAATAGGTCTTTGTTTACCTCACAAAAGCTGATGAACTCTAACTATTCCATGTCGACGTAGTATTTTTCGAAAGCCTAGAGTTTGAGAAACAAAGTTTGCCGATCGATCCGACAGATGACAACGTTCGTTTTTGCTTCTAGAACACACTCAGGTGACATTATTATGCCTCCTGAACACAACTGGCGTGAACCTTCCTGCGTTATGCGAGATGCGAGTCTTGATATGCCTCAATTTAGCGACGATAGATGGTTGAAATGAGTGAAGAGAGTTAAACTTTGAAGGTGAGCGTTTGAATGACAGGGGCGCGCTGAAACTGCAGTAGAAATTCGTTTCCCCCGATTGACTGCTGTGGAAAACATTTGCATATTTCACATGATATTTCCGGCAATCCTGTGTTCGTCCTATTCTATTTTCCCCCCCAACTCCATATTTTGACAGTTGAAAAAGCTGGTTTAGGTTTGAAGGACACGGATACACTTGACCAACCACCCTTGAAGGAGACCCTGTTCTGAAACTCTGGCCAGGATGGGGGTCTGGTAGCAATTTTCCAGTTTGTAAGAAAGTGTACAACATGTATGGTGTGACTGATGAAAGGTAACGGCAGGGTTACTGCTAACATCGACTACCAAGGGAGGTCCAAACAATGAAGCAACTCTGCTTACGTCCTGAACCACACATGCAATCAAATGCACTCGACATAATATTCAGATTTACTTACCCTTCTAACATAGCATATGTTCCCGTTACCGGACGCTAAGAAAAACTCCGACGATGAGAAGGTTGGGCAGTGGTTTCAGGGCTCATTGAACCGGTTGAGATAGCACCGAAGCTTGACAAGTTGAAGGCATAGTCAAACCAAAGCAGCATAGGAGCTGATGCCAGCGGTGGAAATTGAAGGCTCTTGAACAATATCTATTTGAAATTACATGCAGAACCTACCAAATTTGATGTAGTTGTCGTTGCGCAACATGTCAGAGATTTAAGGCTGTCACAAGAATCGAAAGTAGTTTAGGCTGTTAGAATCGACGGCTACTCCCCGACAACAATTAAATATTGTGTTGTTATGTGCTAGATGATGCATCAGATTTACATAGAAATTAATAAGTGAAATCGGGAGGGTGAGTAAAGCGAAGCCGACCTACATTATTCAAAGCAGCCACGCCGTGGCTGCTTAGAATAGATAAATACAATCTCACTGGATTACAATTCGTTTCAGAAATTTTGAAAAGGGAGGTTCTGAATGAGAGGACTGGAGTTGCTTCCTGGCTACGACTTCACAGCGTCCCAATACTGCTCTAAGACAGCGAAGAGCTTTTCTGAACCTATTAACGTCAAGGCTCTTGTCTCATGTTCGATTCTTGAAGATCATCGTTTAGGGCTTTACAGCTTTCCTTTAATGGGTTCATTATTCAAAATTATAGCATCTGTATTATCTCTATTTCAATTTCATCAAAAGTCATGAGGTCGAACATAGATTCCTGAGAAGGATGTCACGATCAACAACTTGAGTCTAGTTACACCTGCTTGAAGTAGGATTAAGCTGCAGTACAAATTGCCGCCTTAACCAAGGTTTTGATAGAATACCTCACACCATATGCATGCATGTGTAATCTCTCGTCTTCTGCCGCATGATCGGAAATCGACCCATCTATAGTTTACTAGAGGAAGGAAATGAAGAAGCGATCACCAAGTTTTAAAAAACACTGTTGCGATAGCGGCAGCGGAGACCGTCGGTTGTCTAAAAGACAAGTGTCGTGACGTTCGTGTGAACTAAACATGAGAGGTGGTTTAGTGAAATAAAGTGGCGAGGAATACCCTTTCAGTTTGAGGAACTTACCGAGAGATTAATCTGTATTCTACTTCATTTTGTAAGGATGCTGACCCCGTAGATTGATGGAGCATGTTTTACAGCCGAATATCGCAGTTGACGATCCTAGTGTTTGTTGAGGTGATCGAGAAAAATAGGTGGTTAAGGAAGATTAAGGTGCAGACTCTGACTCATTCTAAGAGAGCGGTTGTCAGTGGTGCATGCAACCTGTTTCTAAACTAGGCTAAAAATGAGACGTCAGAGCAAACATCGAGTCGGAGGGGCTAGAAGACAATACTTGGAATTGAATTGAGACTGCTGAAACACTAGGATGAGTGCGTGATTTTGAGTTATTCGTTGTGGTCTTGGAGGCAGATGGCTGGGATGTATGAATGCAATATTGTACATAAACCGCAATTTGTGCTGCAAAGTTGCATCTGTGAGTTCAGGCATAGGACATTCAGTGTCACATTGTCTTGCGTGAATGTCTCTACTTTAATAAGTCTGGAAGTGCAGCGAACGACCAGAAAACGGAAAACACATCAGTGCGTTACACAGCAATCACATCTCTAGAGTCCAAAACCCCAGTCGGGGAATTCGTATTTATTAGCTCAACTCGAAATATACTACTAGATAACGAGGACAAAAAATTCAGGTCCAGAGGCCTCCAACCCTACCTCAGCGTAAGCTAAGTTTAAACCATCCTGCACAGATTAACTTTTGACTCCCTCCAACCCACCCTTGTAACCTAACTTACAGTGGTCAAGATTGGTACAGTTTGAGCTATGGACTTCAAGTCCTAGTTAGAAAGATTGACCAAGACAGAAACCCACTTAGAAGCTGACGAAAAAGGCTGAGCTAGCATCTGATTCTCGAAAATTTTCAGAGCAATACATAGGGTGTGTTTGGACCAGATTATTTCCGTCTGCAGTCTTTGCAGTTAACACACTTGATTAGATTCGATTTGATTCGTCGCACATGAACCAAAACCTCGAATAACATTTATAGAAGGATATTGTTTTGAACTGACTCGGTTGAGACTGCCATTCATGGTCCGATAATGAAAGCGAGACCCTTGTTGAAGCCAAACTTTTCTTTTAATAGTGTTAGACCATCATACATTGTCAAACAATGAGAGTCTCAGGGCCTGCTAAAAATGCAACCAAACTACCTCTGCTTAAACGAAGTAGCTTCACCTGCCAACAACACAGGCTTTGAGAGGATAACTGCAAAACAAACGTACTGTGAAAAGTTTTGCCAGGAAAAACAGAACTATACAACTATCCTCACATATGACCAATGCTAAAGGCTAAGCTGTGCTAAGTCTTTGTTTGCTTTAAATCTCACCTTGTTACTAGGTTGTGACAACAAGAACTCAAATGCCAAGCTCCCAAAAACATATCCCACAAACAACTAGTAAATACGACCCAACTGAAGTCAAATAGTTCACGTTCAAAGTGCATTTCATCAAATAGGTTGAATATCTCCAGAGCTTTTGTCCCTAATCCCAAACGTGGTTTTTTGTTTTCCTAATCGACGATCGTCATTAAACTGAGCCAAACGACGTTCATGTGATTTTAAAGAGCTCGCTCACAGCGCACTACACTTCGCAACAACAAAGTAGGTCATCATCGATCGGTGCTTTACGTTTCAGTTCAGATTCATGTTTTAAAAGAGAAAAAAATGAATACCTCTTGAACAATCCCGAATATCTGAAACAAGATTAATCCCGATAGATCTGATTCGAAGCGGCTTGTCAGAAAGAAAAAGTTCGTTCAATAGAAGATGCATTTTCAGGGGCTAAAGCGCAACGTTGGTTTTCTTTTCCGGGCAGAATACATGCACATCAAGCTCAAACGTTCTCCAGAGCACTACTGTACATCAAATCAATGGAGCCCGAACCACTCGACAACCCCAAACCCATCCGTGCTAGGACTTTGATGAGTACCATGTCCACATCGAACTGGTACAGTTCAGCAGGCTGCTCCGCCGAGATGAGCAAAGACTAATTCGCAAAATTTCACACTAAGCAATCCCACAAATTATGAGATACATCAATTTCTGGAACTAAATTTATCAACATTCAAAAGGAGAATATGCAGACCAGCAAAATAAGTGCAAAGAAAATCCACGCACAGGTCTCTTCGGCAACACCAAACCGCGCAGCTACCCCAACAGAGGGCTGCAGACACAAAATGGCACCAAATCCGCCCAATTTCGTTCAAAAACTTGCTTGCCCTGAATCTACGAGATGAAAAGCCAATAAACGAGTCGACCAAGGAAGGTGATAAGCTTCAGCCAAGCACATCTGCTACGAGTAAGCTCAATTTTGCGAGGGACCCCACATCGATTACTTCGGTGATGACATCGTAACGCCGTGCCCTGCTCGTTAAAATGCAAGGACAGAACGGTGCAGGAGCTTGCGGGCTTCACGTC